TGCTTTACACAATTGATGTATGTATGGATTGTGATAAGAATCGTATGAGCCCCTAATAAAGATGATTAAAAACAAACAAACAAAAAGTTGCCTTTGAGATTCAGTTTACATATGGCATTAAGCAAGGCAACTAATGTAATTTAAATAGGGTTAAGCTTGACAATAAAAGCATCAACATGGTCCACATTTACTAGATATTTCTTTCTTAACATTGCTGGCTTATATTTGAATTTAAGCCATAGACAAATGGAGAGCCCAAGTTTTATATCATCTTTTATTGAAAAATTAAGAAATGTGATCAATTGAACTAAAACTCTCCCCTAATGGATCTCCTTGTAAAAACATTGTTTTGAGCATTATATTCTTTTGCCCATTTGCTAACTGACATTAGCCCCGATCAAAGGAAAGTCCAACGCACGGTCACTTATTCTTCACAGAGGAGGAAATGCACAAACCAGTCAGGGGGGAGGGGAGCCTGAGAAGGGAAACCACATTGGCCTGGGTGCCAGTAACTTACTTTTGCTTTAGTGACGATTTGGGGTTTCTGCTGGTGGAGAAGGGCATGGTCAAGAATTCACATACACTGTAGAATAATCTGATCGTCCCTGATCTTCAGGACTTCCTCTTTGGGGAAAGCACTACACACCTCAGGTATCCACCGCCATGGGCTCATGGCTTCTAACAGCTGAACATGATCTGCCTTTCAGATAACACCATCCAGTCGGTTTTCTGTTGCTGCTGCTGCTGTTCTGTGCAGAAGCGGTAAGTCTACTTCAGAGGGCACCTTCTTGCAAATGGGTTCATCTGGAAGTTCTTCATCTTCCCTTGGTCTTCGCCATGCCTTTCTGTGTGTGCAGTTACCTGGGCCTGGGTGGGAAGCCTTCTCCTGTGCTTTCCCTGCTGAATTCCCGTCCATGTCGATCAACATTCTAACCAGGGCCCACAAGTGTTGGTCCCAATATAATGGAAGAAAAAATACAGAGCATGAACATGTTCATAGACGAAGGGGCTTCCAAAAGTGTATTGAGGGGGCAGGGGAGAAATAGTTCATTTTTTGTTTATTCCATGTTCCATGGAATTTTTGAAGCCTCCTTATAAAAAGTTTTATTTTTTTAAATCCAGCGAACTGGGAACAATAGAGACAATCTCCCTGTGATACACTTTAAACCTAGCAAGAGCCAATCCTCTGAGCTCACCTTTCATGGAAATGGAAAAGTGGCAGAAGGTGAGGGGTATTGTAAGATCAGTGCCCTACTTCAAACCCGTCAGATTGAGACTAACATGTCAACGATTGCACAAAAGCAAAGAGAAGACCATAAGGGACACTAGAGGACTGGATAGACAACCAACTGAACACGATTACCGAGAGAATGTGGACACAGGCTGATAAAGGCAATTAATGACACTCAACAATTTGTGTGGCAATTTGTCAAAGGCCAGTCTAACTTGCTATAAGTTCCCCCCCACAAAATATTCAATAAAAAATTTTAATGGGTCTAAGTCAAATGTCAGGTTTTATCTGGTCCCATGTGACTTGGGTTCCTATTTAAGGTTTATTTCATTTATACTGTTTCTATGTCTGTGTTCCACTTGGTAATTTTGACTATTCAAGGGCAGAATCCTGTCTTATGCATGTGAAGCTCTCTCCAAAGCTATCATGTGTCTTACACATTTGTGGCCAATAAGTGATCATAGAAGAATTAAATCCAAGGTGTGCTGCTGATGACCCACTGTCATTGAGTTGATTCCAACCCAGAGAGACTCCACAGGGCAGAGTAGAACTGTCCCCCCTGGGGTTTCCAAGGCTGAACATCTATATGGGAGCAGACAAGAGCAGGTAGACTGGTCTTTCTCTCAAAGAGCAGCTGACCTTTCGAATAGCAGTCCAACCTGTAACACCTTACACCACCAAAGCTTCTTACTATGATGGTAGTCACAGCTAGTATGTAATGATAGTTACAGCTAATATGTAGCAATTGGCTTTCCGATACTATGCTTAGAGGTTTATTTTGCTAACTCATATAACTCTCAAAACATCTTATTACCTTAAAATGATTCTCACTTTATAGATTAGGAAACAGGCTGAAAGAGGTTCCATTGCCTACCCAAGGCCACACTATGAAACGGCGGAGCTGAATTCAAATGCCCTTTTCTTAATCTCATCTTCTTTTAGCAGTGCTGTTGTTGTTAGCTGTGGTTGGTCCTCATGTTGACCCGACACACAAGGGACTGAACTTTTATTAGGCCCTGCACGATGCTCATGATCAGAGGCAAATTGGACCATTGTCATTTATGTTTTCATTGACTGTGTCAAAGGTAGATTGGCTAGGCCTTTCCTCCTCTTTTTTCTCTGTCTGAAAGCTCTTAGGCCTGTTCCGCATCATAACAACACACAAGCCTCATGGGTGGTGGCGGCATATGAGGTGCATTGACTGGGAATTGAAACCATACCTCCCACATCCCCAAACTGAAACCAAAGTCACTACCATGGAGACTGTTCTGATTCATAGCAGCCCTATAAGATAGACTAGAATTGCCCCTTGGGTTTCCAAGACTAACTCTTTATGGGAGTAGAAATCTCATCTTTCTTCCAAAGATCAGCTGGTGGTTTCAAACTACTAATGTTATGGTTAGCAGGCCATTATATGATCCACTACACAACCAAGGCTCTCTCATCTCCTGAGAGCAAGGCAATAATTCTGTCACAGAACTGCTAATGCCTCCTCACTTATAACAATCCCAAACACACCAAACCGCTTGCCATGACGTTGATTCTGACTCATAGCGACCTTCCAGGGCAGAGCAGAACCGCACCTTTGGATTTCTGAGGCTGCAAATCTCTTAAGAGAGCAGGGAGCTTCCTCTTCTCCTGGAAAGTATCTGGTGTGTCTGAAAAGCTGAGCTGGCAGCTAGCAGCCCAATAAAGAGCCAGCCCATGACACCTCCAGGGGCCACTGCTTAATAGAAATCATTACATGCAGTGACACCTGGGAAATCATAAGCATGCTGCAGAACATAGAGAAACTTAGTCTTTTACCATCGTGATCATGATTCTGTGCCACTGTTATAGACCGAACTCTGTACCGGACCTATGATATAGGCTTTCTTTATTTTATTTTGTAGACAGTCTATACGCTGTTATCACTTCACACTTCCAGGTAGGGAAACTGAAGTTCTGAGAACTAGCAACTTGCCCAAAGAGACAGAGTGAAGAAGCCTTGTCAATCAAAGTGTAGCTGGAACAGGCGATCAAACTCAGTAAACATGAGACTGTAAGGGGGCAGGGAAATCACACGAGTGGAAACGTAACAGCCAGAGTGGAAAGACTAAGTCGAATGGCCACACCTGGTGAAGACTGCAGCCAACGTCGCTGCACAATTTGTGTAGTAATTGTCTATGCACACTCACTCACTACTATTGAGTCAAGGGCAGGGTTGAACTGTCTCGGTGAGTTCCAAGACTGTATCGCCACAGGAGAAGAACATAGAAAGCCCCCTCTGCCTCCCCAGTAATTGTCAAAGGGGACCCTAAACTGCTGTGAAAGTCTTCACTGGAAACAGTAGAATGTCATCTTTTTAAAAAAGGTAATTGGAAAGAGAGCCTGGTAGGCTTCCCTTCCCCCACTAGTTCTGTGATAATTGAGGAGATGTTTAGATCAGCATTATACCAATATTCCCTTGTGACCTGTTGCTTTCAGTGTCAGAGAAGCGAGAACGCAGATGAGCCCCAGCAAAGATGAAGAACGCTCTGGAAAATACGCACCACGTCACAGGCCCCGGCTCCTCGAGCTGCCAAGTAAGAAGAAAGTGAGTGTCCCGGGATGGGGGTGGGGGGGTGGAGGGGAAGGCTGTCTTTTAGGGTCTATGCTGCAGGAGGATCTGCTTGTGGCTGGGTCCAGAGGCGAGTATGTGCTTGTCACGTAGTGAGCGCTCCACGAATACTCACGGAATCAATGTCCTCGAGGAGGATGAGCACGGAGCAGGTAAAAAGCGCCTTCTCTGCTCTCTTCAAAGACGTGACTTGAAGCTGGAAATGGGAGAGAAATGTCTTCCAGTTTGCCTGGCGGTTTGAGGCCAGCATTTACTTTCATTTCCGTGTGGGGAGACATTACGTTCTTAGGAAGTGTGGTAAAAACCAAATGCAAGCTTACAGCAGATCAAAGAGAACAGCAGTTCTTCCCCCCAGAGAGAACGAACACTCTTTAAGAGGAAGCAAGACTATGAAGGGGCAGCTCGCCCTTAAAGAACAGCGACAGGAAAAGAGCCAGTGTCATGCTGGGAGAGAACCTGGGATCTCAAAGGGTCCTGACGATAAGCGTCGTCTCTGAGTATCTTGGGGCTCTCTGGAGCAGCAGAACCAGGGACACATAGAAGAGATTGTATGGAGGGGCTTCTAAAAATTCATGGGAACATGGAAGACTATTTCCCCACATAATTTTTGAAGCCCCCTTTGGTCTATGATACATATGTATGTATATGTGCATGTAATATGTGTATCTATACACAGAGAGAGAGTCTATAGGTCAGGTGGCAGGCTGGAGACTTGAGCAGCCTTGCTTCCTGAGATCCTGCGGCCAGGTGCTGGAAAGAGTGCCAAGCAGAGAGAGGGAGTCTTTCCACCATGTATGGTTAGGGTCAGCAGGTGAAATGCACGTTGAGGAAACTCGCTTTTCAACGGAATAATAGATTACGTTATGTCAGATTACTGTGGAACATCTAGTCTAGTACTGGGCCCCGTAGACAAGTCGACACCCCAATGAGCCATCCCGGTGTGCTGATGCATTCAGAAGGTCACTCACTTCCTGCATGTGTCTCACCCCGGCCTCTTTCTTGGTGCAGCGAGAAGGGAGAAGTGAGGCCGTTGGCAAACCTGCTGCACAGGTGTTTTGTTCTTAGTAGAATAATAGTCAATCAACTTTGTGGTTTGGGGCAGTCCAACAGGAGTCACGGGCAGCCGTCCAAACGCAAGCCACTGCCTCCCCTGCCTGTCTCCGAGGGAGCTGAAGAGATGATCCAGGTGAAGGCACTTTATGACTTCCTGCCCAGAGAATCCTGTGATTTAGCTTTAACGAGAGCAGAAGAATACTTGATATTGGAGAAGTATACACCACACTGGTGGAAGGCAAGAGACCAGCAGGGGTAAGCTTGGTGGGTTTATCCTTTCAAATTCTGGCTTTTTTAGCTCTTAAAGACTCTTAAACATGAAGAAGACTATTTATTGGTTCATGTTATCCTGGTTTATAACTCTTTTCATGAAATAGAACCTGCCCACGCACCCCTGACCCACCCCACCTGCTCCCTTCAGTTTGTGGGAACATCACCGCACAGTGAGTTCCGGCTGAAATGACTTCACAGCCAGCCAGTCTCACTTACTACTGTTTGGGCAAGTTCCCTCAGCCTCTGTGAGTGCGTGTTGCTTAACTTGTAAAACGAGAATGCGAATCTCTACCATCTAAGTTCTTGTTCTGATAGCTGTGCTCGCTATTTGGGAATTGGTCTGATTGTGCTGTTTACGATCTAAGAGAAGAACAGAGAGAGTGTGTGTTTTGCTTGTTATTGTGTTTTCGTGACAACTGGTCTTAGGGGAAAATACTGTAATAGCTGCTGAGTTAAGCTAGAAAAAAAGAAAAGACCTTGGGGGTGCAGGTAGATTTCATTATGTGTTAAATATTGTAGATTACCAGTGCCTCCCACCACTCATCCGTCAGTGTGTTTGGACAGAGGTGCCCTGTGTGTTGCTGTTGTAAGATAATGTAGCAATAGACTCATCTTACGTATCACAAGAGTTCGAGAGGGTGCAATCCACAAGATAAAACTTATATACAAAAGAGACAGACAAAAAGTTGGGGCATGGAGGTCTCTGCAGCAAGACGCTACCGAGAACCCAGAGCTTTATTAGAGGTGAGCTTATATACTCCTGGGAGCAGGTAGCCAGCATGCTCAGCCAGCATTTACACAAAGGCAGTTTAGTTCTAAGGCATACAAAGAAACATTAACACTTCAACCAAGTTAATCATAGACAGGAGGGGAGGATGAGGATGGGGACCTGAAGAAACTGAGAACCTTGCAGGTGGCTGCTGTTTGCAGCCTTTGCCAGGGAACAAGGACAGTGTCCATTTTATCTCAAATGGAAAGACAGACCAACATTGCTTCAATCAGCTCCCCAAGATGAACTATTCTCATCCTTCCACGACATTGGGCCATGTTGTGGAAGGATGATAATAAGGAAATAAGGAAATATGTTGCTTCTGTCCCATTTGCCCAAGGAATTAACAGCTTTCTCCCCACAGCTGTGATGCCTGGTAACTGGTATTTTTGCCAAGTGACCAGGCTAAGACATGTAGCAGATGAGGACCTGGTGATGTAGTTCAGAAAACCCTGACTAATGACAACATTACAAATAGCAGTGGACCACTGACTGATACAATGCTTGAGAATAAGCCCCTGAGGTTGGGACACCCTCAAAAAATGACGAGGGAAGAGCCACCTCCTCAAACTAGAATCAACCTGAATAGCATGGATCGAGTAGAGCTGGCAAGACCTTCCTTTGGTACAATCCTTGTGGGAAGAAACAGCTGCAAACATCTATTAATATGTAGAACCTGGAATGTACAGAGAATGAATCTAGGAAAATTGGAAGTTATCAAAAATGAAATGGAGTGCATCAGGACTGATATCTTAGAAATTAGTGAGCTTAAATAGACTGATGTTGGACATTTTGAATTGAATAGTCATATTGTCCATTATGAGCACTGGTAGTATAGTGGGTTATGAGTGGTTCTACTAACCTTAAGGTCATAAGTTTGATTCCACCACCACTCCAAAGGATAAAGATGAGGCCTTCTACTCCCATGAAGAGTTACAGTTTCCAAAACCCACGGGGGCAGTTCTACTCTGTCTTATAGGGTTGTTATGAGTCAGAATCAATTAATTGATTGCAGTGAATTTGTTTTTTTGAGTTGCCAGAAATGACAAATTGTAGACGAATAACATCACATTGATCATAAAAAGAGCCGATGGCATAGTGGTTACAAGTTGTGCTGTGATCCAAAAGGTTGGCAGTCTGAAACCACCAGTAGCTCTTGGGAGAAAGATGGGACTTTCTACTAAATAAAGTAAAGTCTTAGAAATTCGTGAGGCAGTTCTACTGTCCTATGGGGTCTCTCGGCATCAGCATCAACTCCATGGCACTGGTTGCCATTGCCCTTGCAATCCCCAAAACAAAATGAAAACCCAAACCATTTCATGTTCTGTCCTGAAATGCAGTGCCATCCGTGAGAGGGTAATATCCATAGGCCTATAAGAAGACAAGTTAATATGACTGTTCTTCACACTTACACACCAAGCACGAATACCCGAGATGGAGAAATTGAAGATTTTTGCCATCTTCTGTACTGAAATGGATCAAGCATGCAATTAAGATTGATTGATAAGTACTGGTGATTGGGAAATTAAAAACACAGAGGAAGGAAGGATCAGTAGTCAAAAAATATGGCCTTGGTGATTGAAATTATCCTGGAGATTGCAGATAGAATTTTGTAGTAGCGTTTTCCAACAGCAAAGGTGGTAACCGTACACGTGGAACTCACCAGCTAGCATACATAGGAATAAAATCCACTGCATCTAGGAAAAGAGGCCATGGAGAAGCTCAAAAAGTCATGACAAGGCCAGGGCCTATTGTGGAACAGGCCATCAATTGCTCATCTCCAATTTCAAGCAGAAGCTAAAGGAAAATAAACTTGTGTATACCCCAGAAAAGAATATAAAACAAGACCTATTGTTGCTGATATCAGATGAATATTGACTAAAGAAGCCATTACCCAAAAGGGAGCTTACATATGCTTTATTTCTTATGCAAAGGCTGTGTGGATCATTTGATTTCTTGAGTGCTACTTCCATGGGTGTTGATTGTAGATCCAAGTAAAATAAAATCCTGGATAACATCACTATTTTATCCATTAATTTTGATGTTGCTTGTGGTCCAATTGTGAAAATATTTTTGTGTGTGGATCATCATGAAGTATGGATAACTTTACAAAGAATAGGAATTCCACAACGCTTAATTATGCTCATGCAGAACTTGTATTTAGATCAAAAGGCAGTTGTTTAAACTGGACAAGAGGAAGCTGCATGGGTTAAAGCATGGAAAGGGATGTATCAGAGTTGTGGCCTTTTACCATACTTATTCAATCTGTTGGTTGAGCAAATAACTCAAGAAACTGGACTATGCTAAGAAGGATATGGCATCAAGTAGATCCTAACTTCTTGGGCATACGCAGATGATACAACATTGCTTGCTGAAAGCAAAGAGTGCTTGAAGCACTCAACTGATGAAGATCAAAAATTACGTACAGCTCTCAGTACGGATTACACCTCAACATAAAATCTTCACAACTGGACCACAAGCAGCATTCAAATAAATGGATACATTAGTGATGTTATCGAGGATTTTATTTTACGTGGGTCTACAATCAACACCCATGGAAGTAGCACTCAAGAAATCAAATGATATAATTCGTCGGGTGAAACAGTGGCAAAAGACCTCTTTAAAGATGGAGTGCATGTCACAGCATCTGTATTTTATTTTACTTACGCATTTTTCTGAACTTTGCTTTTCTCACTCAACCATGTGTCTGAGTGATCTTTTTATAATTCCAAATCTTGGTAAGAGTGTAGGGAGAGAGAAGTCTTTTCCCTAACTGGAAAATTACATTTCCAGTTTATAAATTGTCATGTTCTCCTTGGAGGATAATTTGCTGTGTTCACTGAAATATGCATTTATTTGATGGTGCAACAATTTCACTGCTTGGTATCTTAGAGAAATACTCATTCTTGTGCACAAAAGGGCATGTGTCAAGGTTGTTTTGTCTGTTTGTTTGAGTTGATTGAATGACAGATGGGAAAAGTGTGTCTTTACAATAGTTTTTTTCACTCCCATAGGAAAAGTCAGGCTAAACAAATTATGGAATATATAGAGCAGTGTTTCCCAAAGTGGGCACTACACTCCCGGGGTTGCTGAAATCCCACAGGATGCTACACTTTATCCTGGATTAGGCTAAGCACACCAGGTTTTAGTTTTTAACTTAAAAAATTTTTAATAAATCATTTTATTGGGGGCTCTTACAG